TGATGAGATTGTCGAGAAAGTTACTGCAGAAACGTGCACCGCCGAGAACTGGACACTTATCCTTGACATATGTGATCGAGTTGTAGCAGATCAGAATAAGGGTTCGATTTATTTACACTATTGTTATTATTATTGTTATTATTGTTATTGTTGTTGTCATTATTATTGTTGCTATTATTCTGTCCTTATTTTCATGTTTATTATTGCAGATGATTGCTTTCTGGTGCCGTGGTGCAGTGATAAAAACTGAAATATGGGCAAAATAATAATAACGATAAAAATAATAACAGTGATGGCTGTAATGATGGTGGTGATAATAACAATGATAATAATAATGATAATAATAACGATAATAACAATAATGATAAGAATATTGATAACGATAACAATGTCAACAATAATGACAATTATGGTAATAACAAATAAATTTATAATGATAACATCAGTACTAGTAGTGTAGAATAGCAATTTATAGAATAAGTGTAAAAAACCAATATTGCTCGAATTGTCAGTTTAGCTGGTGGGGCTATCAGTGTTAGATTGCTGGGACTACCAGTGTTTTTTCTTTTTTTCTTTAGTACTAGTAAACTATGCCATATTTTACATTTCCCAAGCCTCGTTTGATAATTTTAGGCGCGAAGCTATGTTTATTGTCATTGAAGAAGCGACTGAATCATCGTGATCCGCATGTTGTGCTACTGGCACTTTCGCTACTTGATTCACTGTGGAGTAATTGCGGACTTACATTTAGGCGTGAAGTTTCGTCACGTGAATTCTCACAGGAATTAAGCTGCAAAGCTACACATGTTAGCTTTTAATTTTGCTTTTTTTGCTTTAATATTTTTATTTTTTTTTATTTTTTATAAAAATGATTATTAGAAATATATTTTTTATGAAAGCATTTTGCGTAAAAAATATTTCAGTTTTCGTTTATCGTAATTTGTCATTTTATCTCTTTTTTATGCTTGCTTTTGAGCAAAATTCTGTAGCAGATAGCGTTGCTGTCGTGCTGGAGGACTGCAGAGATTCCACTCCTTTAGTTGGGCAACAGAAGTCTCTCTACGATTCATTTATTCATTTCGGTGTTTGTTTTTATACAGCAAGAAGGCAGTTTCGCCATAAACTTGTTTCTAAGCAGTCCTCGAAAAAGGGAGTCTTACCAGCGAGTGGTTGTTGTTGGCAAATGTTACCATTCCAGCTAATTTTGTGTTCCTGTGCTTTTCGCAGCAAATGAATCATGGGGGAAAGGGGGAGGGGGGATTTTTAGCGTACCGATGATGATTGATGTTTACTAAAGGCCCTAACAAACCCATTTTGGGTTGGGATGGTGTTTCTCTGCATGTTTTATAGCTGTATATCAGTAACACTTGCAGCGCGGATGATCTTAGTGAGAATACAGGAAGCACAGGATTCCTGGTTTGAAAAAATTAGGGGAAAGAGGGGAGGGGGAAGAAGGAGGATTGATTTTTGCATAATTTTTCAGTGGTACTGAGTAAAAAAAAAAACTTTTTTCTAAGGCAGTATGATGGATCGTAGTGTGGCGTGATGCGTTTACTGTGTGTGCAAATGGGTGACTAAATAAATATTT